ATGTATGTCAGGTTCAAATACGGTTGTCTCTAAAATGTGAGCATGATTATTTTTCACCTGTCACCCAAATCTTCTCTACTGCTGCTGTGTGGAATTACAAAAATTTGTTTCTCTGATGTAAGCTTGTGGCAAATTCAAATTTCTGAACAGTTTTGCTCTATCATTTCTCGATTTTGCCTCCATGTATCACATATCCCCCATATCACGTTTTTATTATACTGCATATAAATTCAAAATATAATCTGTTTATTTTATCTATGACAAAGGCATATTACAGAAAAAACTGCATAGATACAGAGAATTGGCAGGATTAAATTATTTGGATAATATCATACGTACGCATCATATGACAGCAGACAATCAGAAGTGTGTTTATTTTTTGGGACAATCTCATGTACTTTGCTGTTGGTTTGTTGCATAGAAGTGTCCAGCAGAAGTCCCCCATCATGCTGAGGTTTCACTTGCTTTGTTAGTTTCTTTTCATCTTAGTAATATCTTGGTAGAACCTTTCTCCATACTCATTGCTCTGAAGTTTGGAGGGAAGAAGTTAAGGTGTGAGTGGAGAAAGTGAATTTTTAGTGACATTTGGCATCCCATATCCTCATAAGCCTGTAACAAGTTCTCCATACACTCTTGGTAATCTGGTACCCGTGTGTCACCAAAGAAGCCATGGCAAACTGACTTAAATTCTTTCCAGGTCATTTACGCTAAGAAGCTCCTCAAATACCTTATCTTTCAGCACTTCTTGGATCTAAATTCCAACAAAGATGCCCTCTTTGAGTTTAGCAGGACTGACAACTGGGAATAGAGTTGAAAGGTTAGCACCATCTTTATCCAGGGTCTTCACTAAAATTCTTCATTAGACCGAGCTTGATATGAAGAGAATAAAGCGCTTTGTTCATGTCCATCAGGATTTTCTTTAACACTGTTTTTAGCAGGCATGAAAGTGATCCTGGACCCCAGTCCTTCTACTTGTAGTGTTTGAACACAGCTTGATGTCCCAGAGACAGAAAAAGCAACAGTATTTTTTGAAGCCTGCTTGGTATACCCTTGAGGTCTAATGGTACTGCTTGTACTTGACAAGTTCCAAAAGGAATCCATATTGTCTCTTCAGACTTCACTTGGAAGAGTCTATGAAAAGATTCCAATCTGAGGGATTGTGCAGGAAGCCAAGAAAGGTGAACAAGCTAGAGATATTGGTGTAGTAGTAACCTTTTATTATTTAATAACATTATTAATATCATTACTTTTATTATTATTTTACCACTGCATATCTATTTTCTTTTTTATTATAATTTTATCATTACCAATTGAATTACCCCGGTAAAAAAATAGGGTTAGCTCCTTGGCTTTTAACATTTGTTTACCAACAGCATCCTTAGATGTTATTTTTCAAATTAAAATTAAAAATTCAATTTTTATTTTTCAGTTTTAAGTGTAAGTTTGAACCTAAATTTAAATTCAAATTTAGATGCATTTAAATATTTAACAACAATAATGATTTATCCAACTAATACCGCAAAACTGCGAGACACGAATATTAACCAGATTGTGAAAAGATATTTTAGTACCTGATGATTGCATAGTGGATGAAACTGAGTTATATTGTCAGTGTGGGGTATTATGTATATTTAATAATATATACTTAATAGCTCTGTTATTGTGCATTGAGCACTTTTTTTTATACCAAAGGAGATATATATATATATATATATATATATATATATACATTATCCCTTACTATTGTTTATAGATACTCTGTTTCAATAAATTCATTTCATTTTTTGCCTTGAAAAAGTCCACATTGAACAAAATGCATTGGCTAAAACAACAGTTTTTCTATTGTCTTTTTTCCTTTTTTATATATATATATATATATATATATATATATATATATATATATATAATATATAAATTTTATTTAAAAGTTAAAATGAGATGCCATATTGTAACTATTTACACTGTTTACATTGTTCAGACTGTTGTCCTCTTCTTATTGCCATATTCACAATGTTTCAGCCATTATACGCTACACTCCAACAGCCCAAATAGTGTAAATAATTTTTCCTGTATTCATAAGTCATTTCTTTTTTGGAGATAAAGTGTTTAAAAACTGAATGTTCTGTATATCTGAGTGCTTTTGGTTATTCTGTTAACCATTTGCAAGAATGTTTTTTCTTTCGTATTTTTAACTAAATCTGTAGAATTTTATGTTTCTAGAGTGATGGGAATGTCTTATTTTTCAAACACACTTAGCACACTATGGCTGTGTTCATAGTGAATGTTATTGTGTTTTGGCTTTTTCTTTTTTTATTAATAGTGATTCCATTAATTTTTGTCTTTTTTTTTTTTTTTTACATATGAATGAGGCTATTATACTTGTATTTTCTGCAAGTATGTTGGGGATGGGGTTTGGTAGGTTTTTTATATATATATATATATATATATATGAGATAACAACACTACTACACAAAAAACTGGTTAAACATCGAAAAACATAAGGAAAAATTAATTCCTTTTAAATAATGTGGAAATAACCACTCTTCGCCTGATGAAGGTCGAAAGACCCAAAACGCGTGTAGCAAAAATATGGGAAATAAAATATATGTATTTAAAAAATTCACGTTAAGACCAAAAACGTTTGCAGCTTCTCTCTTCTCTTTAAAATATACATTTTTCTCTTGTTAGAACAATTATAACCTTTCCTTTATATGAGATAATAATATATTTATATGTATATCAAGAACAGTATTGGGGAAATTGTATGATGGAGTAGAAAAATTTACTTGTGACATGTTTTCTCCTTCCGGACTTCATCAGACTAAATTTGTTGGTAGGACTACATAAGTGCATGGAATTTTCTGTAGTCATACCAACATAAAACAATAAAGTCCTGAAGGACAAAATGCATCACAAGTAAACTTTTTCACTTTGTCATACAATTTCCCATATATATATATATATATATATATATATATATATATATATATATATATATATATATATATGACAAAGTGGAAAAAGTTTTTGCATTTGTTTAGATTGATGCAACTGCTCATGTACACAAATAAGTAATGTTGGGTGGTGGGGATTATTTTTTAAATTAAAATTCCCAGCATCTCTTGTTCATGTGAATGAGTAGTCTCATCAATGTAAGCAAACTTGAAAACTTTTTCCGCTTTGCCATATATCTTTCCCCCATATAGTGTAAATATATATATATATATATATATATGGGATCAGTAACTATTTTCAATAGTTCTGTAGAAATTAATGTCTTTTAGAATATTTTGATTTTTTTCTCTCTTTTAGTCATGGAATGGATTCTTCTCTACCACAAGAGCCTTTTAACTGCATGTCCTTTATATTTGGAAAGATCGGTGCTGCCAAATAAATCTCCCTTATTCTAGATTTCCTATAAAAGACCTATGAAATAACCATATTGTCTTCAATACTATGAAACTATTATTTTTATCATGGAAGTTTAGGTCCTTCTCATAGTGGCTAGAAATCCTCAATTCTCATTGGTTAAAATAAATCTTTTTTTTTTTTTTTTTTTTTTCCATCACTTTATAAGTTTTCAAACATTTTGCTTTCCTCGTTTTGTCTTAATTGCATTGAATTTCATTTGTTTGTTGATCGATAAAATGAACATTTTAACTTTATGCTTTTGTTTAGGTTGATAACTATTTTGTGGCTGCAGGCATGAATTCTTCAGGAATCGCAGGTTCTGGAGGCGTTGGTAAAGAAGTTGCTGATTGGATTGTTGATGGTACCACCAGTAAGAATCTGTGGTCTGTTGATGTGAGCCGTTTTGTTGACTTGCACAATAACAGAAGGTTCTTGCGCGATAGAGTAAAAGAGGCTGTAGGTAAGAATGTTGATGCCATTTTTTTTTTTTTTTTCTTTTTTTTTCTTTTTTTTTTCTTTCTTTCTTTTTTCTTTCTTTTTCTTCTTTTTTTTTCTTTCTTTTTTTTTTTCTTTTTTCTTTCTTTTTTTCTTTTTTTCTTTCTTTCTTTTCTTTCTTTTTTCTTTCTTTTTTTTTCTTTTCTTTCTTTCTTTTCTTTCTTTCTTTCTTTTTTTCTTTCTTTCTTTTTTTTCTTTCTTTCTTTTTTTTTTTCTTTCTTTCTTTTTTTTTCTTTCTTTCTTTTTTTCTTTCTTTTTTTTTCTTTCTTTTTTTCTTTCTTTCTTTTTTTTCTTTCTTTTTTTTCTTTCTTTTCTTTCTTTTTCTTTTTTTCTTTCTTTCTTTCTTTTTTTCTTTTTTCTTTCTTTCTTTTTTTTCTTTCTTTTTTTTTTTTTTTTTTCTTTTTTTTTCTTTCTTTTTTTTTTTTCTTTTCTTTTTTTTCTTTCTTTTTTTTTTTTTCTTTTTTTCTTTTTTCTTTTTTCTTTCTTTCTTTTTTTCTTTCTTTTTTTTTTTTTTCTTTTTTTTTTTTTTTTTTTTTTTTTTTTTTTTTCTTTTTTTTTTTTTTTTTTTTTTTTTTTTTTTTTTTTTTTCTTTTTTTTTTTTCTTTTCTTTCTTTCTTTCTTTCTTTTTTCTTTTCTTTTTCTTTTTTTTCTTTTTTTTTTTGTCAGAGGGGTAAGGAAGAAAAACTAACTATTAATGGATTGACTGGGTGAAGAGGGTAGTAAATGTTTGCTGTTAATTTCTTTATAAGTCAAACTGCTTCCAAAATAAATGCAATCTTATTTATGATTGCCTACTGAGAAATCTTTCATTTGAATCCTAAAAAGAGAAAATTAAAACATTTGGCTCCTTGACTTTTTCTAGCATGAAAAGATATTTTAAATGAAAATTTATTTGTTTCTAGTTTAAAAACATGTCAAACTATTTTGGTCTTTCTCTGAATTTTTAACAAATCCTTTATTGCAATTCCTTGCAGGCCACCTCTACTCTATTGGCTATTCTACTGAGGAATATGGTTCCTCTCGTAAATTAAGAACATCACCTTTACACACAAGGTTAGAAGTTGCAGGAGCAATTTTTGGAGAGACAAATGCTG